CTGCTGCCATGTATCAGACTATGAGGCTGCAGACACAGAAACAGCTGGCGGGGGGCAGATTTGGCAATCCTGGGCTCTCTGAACACGACTTGGGGGACGCGGAGGGGTGTTACTCAGCGCACATGGACCAAAGCCATGTCCGTTCCAGCTGCAGTGTCATCACACCCACTGTGACCAGAGCTGGTCTTCCCCGGCTGTTGGATGCCGAGCAGGACCACATGCTCGAACCCTGCCCGGGAGTGACAGAAGAGTTACACAGACGGGGTTTCCCCGTCGCGGCTTCGAGTCACTCACTCACCCTTTTGTTTTGCTCTTACAGAAAAGGCAGATTAACATCTGGCCCAGATGACGGGACTCTCGCATCAGCTCAAACTGAGTGAGCAGCTGCCAGCTGCCGCGTGTACGGACTGGGTGTTCTGTGGGTAGGAGGTTCGTGGGTCATTTAAAATTCCAGCGAAGGGCTGTGAGAGGAGGAACTGGAAGCGTGGGGGAGCCCCCGGGTAGCAGCAATAATGACAAAGCACACACACGTGGTTGTGGTGGCCAGAGAACAACATTAGGAAACAGAGGGCCTAGGTTTGAGTCCTGGGGGAGCTCAGTGCAGCTTCATCGCCTGGGTTTCTTTCTGTGGGAATGATGTGACTGTCGGAGTCCGATTTTCTCTGCAGAACTTCTGCTGGAATGCTTGGCTCATGATTAAATGGAGCCCTCAGACCAGTGACTTCCCACAATCTGACACCAAAGATTTATCCACCCACTGCTATCCAGTCACCCCACTTTATGAAGGGGAAACTGAGGCACGGCATTTAAGCCACATGCCCAAGGCCACACACCAGCTCAGGACAGTGATAACCCAAGGTCAGGCTCCAAAGCACAAAAAAAGGCCCTGCTGCCACCAGCCTGAGGTTCCCAAAGCAGGTGCCCCAGGCACACTGCCCAGCCCCCTCTGCACCTCCTCTGGCCTCACTTTCTACGCCTCAGACGCCCAGCCCTGCAGCCCCATCAGGTCTGCAGTGAGCGTCCACCTTCCTTCTCGGGCAGTCTCAGCCCTGGAAGAGGGACCCCGGACACGGCCGGGGGGGCTGGGGGAGCTAAAGGCACTTTCATTGAGCTTCTCCCCCACCATGTGGAAGGACTGGGAGGCAGGTCATGGGCACCTCATCCTTAGTTTTGAGAATATAAAAAAAAATTGTGTTTTAAAAATTGTAGCAAAAGATACATCTTATTCTAATTTTAAAAAGTTCTGGATGGGAGTGAAGATAAAAAGGGACAAAGACAGAGTGCAGGGTGGCAGAAGGACTCTGAGAGAATCCACTTCCCCTACATGAATGAGGTTTATCACGCAGAACATCAGACGATGGTTTTTGCTGTAAATTAAAAAATGCTTCTTGCCCGACCAGTGTGGCTCAGTGGTTGAGTGTCGACCCCTGCACCAAGAGGTCGCTGATTCAATTCCCGGTCAGGGCACATGCCCAGGTTGTAGGCCTGATCCCCAGTGCGGGGCATGCAGGAGGCGGCCAATCGATGTTCTCTCTCATCAATGTTTCTCTCTCTCTCTCCCTCTCCTTCCCTCTCTCGCTAACATCAATGAAGAAAATAAATAAATAAATAAAAAGAAAAGATTTGTTTTAAAAAATGCTTCTTGACCGGCTGGGAGAAACCGAAAGCAGAGACGCTGGGTGAGAGGAAAAAGGAAAATGTTCCTCCTGCTCCCTGCTTTCTGGAACGTTTCTCCAAGGGAGGTCCCCAGACTAGGGGGGCCTCTGACAGCCTTCCAGGGGGTCCTCAGGCTCAGAATGACTTTCGTCTAATAGGAATACTGTGCCTCTTTCACTGTGTTGAGATTCGCACTGACCGGTGTAAAGGCAAAGGTGGGAAAACCGCCCGGGCCTTGGCACTAAGCCGGGCTCCCAGCACCACGGTCGCACCACCTTGAACTTGCAGGGGAAATACAGTCTCATTGAGTGTCCCACGCGGAGCGGTAAAAATTAATTTTATGAATAAGCGAATACACATCTTTTTAATTTCTGGGTAAATGAAAAGAGCTCATATCTGCTGCTAGGAACATAGTCAATAATATTACAGTAACTGTAAATGGTGTCAGGGGGATACTAGACTTTTGGGGGATCCCTGTCTAACCACTAGGCTGCACACCTGAAACTAATGTGTATAATAATGTATGTCAACTGGCACTGGAAAATAAAAATGTAGAAAAAATGCTTTTGTATTTAATATTTTTAAATTTAATATCTAAAGTAAATATTTATACTATCTTCAGAAAAAGAACTCGTTTGAGTTGTAAGCTAAACTAGCCACTTGATTCATAAACACTATATTCACTGAAAGAACAACTTGGCAAATTATGTTTATTCAGACTTGGGTATTGGACGGGTATTTCCTCAAAAGTCAACGAAATGGGTCTGTCACTTCCAAGAAAACTTGGTGTTTGTTGCTGATGATACAATCTGAGCTTTCAAGTAAACGTCTGAACTTTTGAAAACGTACATCTGCCACTTCGGGCTTGGTCGCCCCCGCTGCTTTGCTGATGAAACTGGTGGTAATAGTAACTCGTGATTGCTTGATACTGTCTATGGATGTGTTCCAACATTTTGAAGCAATATTTTCCGTGTGACTAATGCATGATGTTACAAAATCACACAGGGGTGGAAACCCACTCAAAGTGCAGGACAGACCCGTAGGACTTCTTATCACCATAGGAAAGTCTGTTGATACAGTTTCATACTCCATCTGCAACTAACTGGTCAGTTTTGGTGCAGTATGAAACAGTGTCCACCGTGATCTGAAAGTTATTACACACCCCTTCCTCTCCCGTCACATATCTGCGTGAGGCCTGACTTCAAAATGTATCACAACAGCCCTGGCCAGTGTGGCTCAGCGATAGAGCGTCGGCCAGCAGACCAGAGTTGTGGGTTCAATTCCGGTCAAGGGCACGTACCTCGTTTGCGGTTTGGTCTTCGGCCCTGGTCGAGGTCACAGGAGTCAACCAATGGATGTGTCTCTCTCACATCCATGTCTCTCTCTCTCTCTCTCTCTCTCTCTCTCTCTCTTTCCCTCCCATTCTATCTGAAAATAAGTGGAAAAATATCCTCGGATGAGGATTAAAAAAAATAGAAATGTATCACAGCAGACTGAAGGCAGGGTGGAAGAACCCAGCCCTCTCCTATGAAACCAGACATCAAAAAGATCAGAAAACATGTGAAACAACGCCATTCTCATCTTCTCAGAAAAATAGTTATTTTAAACATGAAATGTTTTATTTTAAAATAAAGTTAAAGTGAATCTTTGGTACGGTAAACACTGATCACCAGAAGCGTGCTGGTAAATGTTTAACAAGCAGCTCCCGGGGGGTGGGGGTGGGGGGACCCCTCCCTCATTTGTAGTTTGCTGGTTTCATGGTGTAAATACTCTCATCAAGACAGGTTCAAACTACAACTCATCACGGCCACAGACTTGGGAAGAGAGGAGCAGCAGCATCCGTGAGCTGGCTCCAGCCACCTGATAGAATCCACGTTTTGTGGCATTCTCACTAATTCTGAAGAGTGGAAAGGGGCCCCGAGTTTAGAAACAGGTGTCCCAGGACCATCACCACCCTCCCGTCAGGGCACCCCTGCCAGCAGGAGTCCCGGAGACACCGGTCTCAATGACAGAAGTCCTGGAACCTGAAAGTCTAGTGTTCAGTGTGAACAATCCCCAAGTCTCTCCTGGACGTCTGCCAACTCCCTGGCAAAGACAGAACCCGAATCTTCCTATTCCAAATGCTTCTTAAAAGCATTTTTGCCTTTAAGGAACTTTTTGAGGCTTTCTGAAGGGAGGGCTCACAGCTAGGTCCAGTTTGGTCACGACGTTCTAGGTGTCCGCCCGTCCAATCGGTTCCCTGGAGCCGACTCCGGGCCTGATGCTGCCCGGAGCATCTCGGCTACCCCTGCACCGGGTCGGGGTGGGGACGAGGAATGACAACTCTTATGAGTTTATATAAACAAAATACTTTATTATTTGAGAAAGAAAGGGCCAAATTACAAAATTTTTTATACTTAAGCTCTGTTCATTACCACACCAGAGGGTTTATAAGGGACTTCAGTTCCCATCACTATTAGGTTGGACCCCATGAAACTGCCAACTAGGGCGATAAAAAACACGTCAAATATTGATTTCATGTGGTTCGACCCCATATAAAATGAGCCGATGGCTAACATCGGTTTTGGCAGCAACATGTCCCCAGTCACGTCTGTTGATGTTATAAACAGATGTCCCAGCTATAAACAGGTGCTGCCTGAGAACATCCTGTTTAAAGATACTGGGAACCGTTCTGTGTCGAGGCAGGTCCGCCTTCTCAGCTCGTCCTCCAGCCAAGCCCACGGTCCCACCACACGGGCGGGTCCAGGTGTCCTCTCAAACTGCTAGGGACACCTGTCAGACTTTGCAAGCCACTGGGCCGGATCAGTTCCAGAGGCCAGGGACACAGGCCGACCCAGGTGCTCCTCGGAAACAGCATCCAACACCATCGGACAGTTTCCTCCGCGTGAACCAGTCCACATGCATCCGCTCTGCCACTCTGCTGACCCCGCGGGCCTCTGGGAGTTCTGCGTCCAAATGGAAGAAGCAAAACCGAACTGTGCTGCTGTGCCCACGGAGCCAAAGGACCGGCGTGGTGTCCAGACAGCCCGAGACTGACAGTGGAGAACCGGACCAGCACGCTCCGTGCACGTCCGAGCTTTCCTCGAGGTGCGCCCTCCCCTCCGGCTGCAGCTCTGTGCACAGTATGTTCAACTTCACATGGAGCCGTGATAGAAAATAAAGCTTTCCTACAAATCACAATTTTTTCCAGTGAATTACTTTTACAGTAAAAATAGCTGCTCCATAAATCCCTCCTGATTTCTGAAAAGGAGTTGCATATTTCCAAAAATAGTATTCTTATTTTGATCATACAGAGTCACGTGGGGCTTGGGGTGGGGCAGGAGGTGGAAATGCCTGGTGGGGGAGGGGTCATGGGGGACACAATTGAACTAAGAAATAAAATGAGTTTTGTGTATCGACTGATTTAAAGGCATGCACAGAAATGGAAAACCTATGCCATTTGTCAAGAAAAATACTGCTTTACAGGTTTTACATTACAATGGAAAGGACACACCAGAAGCCAGAGGTGCCCCAGATAATAACATTATTAAGTTTCGTATAAAAATTCCCAAATGTACAAAGTCCTTGACAGACAACAATCCAGGCAAAACAAAACAAAAAAACAAGGATTAACCCTCTTAGACCTTACGCCTGTAGGCATATTCGACGTCAATAATACACGTGACAAATTCTCTCAGCCTACCCGTGGCAGATGTGATGTTTGCAAAATGCCAAAGATGCTCTTGCAAAATGAAATACACGCTGCATTCTTAGTTCACATACAGTAATATAATTATTTTAAATTACAATATACAATTTCTGTTAAATAGAACTGTTAGAGGATTTCGATAACAATTATAAGATTACAGTCATATATACAAACCAACTTCTGAAATGGCACGATCATTTCCTGTCCCCCCACCCTCTGAAGCAGAGACAACGCTTTCGCACTGGGGATTCCTGGTTGCCAAAGGGCAAAGAAAATAAATGCGTACGTCCCCGACACGCTCACGCCCGGAGAACGGCCAGCAGCCTGCGTGGTCCTGTCGCAGGCGCTGGGAGCGCACCCCGGGCCACTTCAATGTGACTGCATTATAAACAGCGTGATCCGTCCGGAGGCTTCAGATGCAACACATCGTGTCGCTCTGGGCGACGGGCTGCGGTGTCGGATGAAATAAGGCCACTGCTTCTTGGCGACGTTCCCGGAGGGTCCAGAGGCCTGGCAGGGGCCCGGGGGCAGTGGGTCAGGATGGCCCCGACGGCGGTCCCCGGGCCTCAGTCCTCCGTGTCCGGCTGGACTCCCAGGATGGCGTGCAGTTCCTCGGGCGTGAACCCCAGCAAATTCTGCAGGTCGCACACGAAGCGGTACACGTAGCGCTTCCCTGACGTCTTGTGGATGATGTTCTTGTCGTAGTAATAGCGCAAACCCCGGCTCAGCTTCTCGTAGTTCATCTTGGGCTTATTTTTCCTCTTTCCCCACCGGCGGGCCACCTGCAGTGGACATGATGGAGAAAGTCAATTCCATTTGGCAGGGAAGAAAAAGTGAATGACTCCAACCCCCCAGTGACGCTGACGTGTGCCCACTGGAGGGAACTTGCCCACGAATGCACCCCCAGAAGTGCCATCAGTTTCAGCATGTGTGCCAGGGCTGTGCCCTAGGCTGGTTCTCCGAGGACAGAAGGAAAGGGGGAGGGGAGTGCAGGGCCCCCACCCAGTGTCACCTGGTACAGGGCTCTTGAAGCCTTTCGCTCAGTAAAACCTCCTAGAAACCAAAGGTTCCGGGTTGAGCACCCTGACACAGGGAAAAGTTGTGCCCCAGGAGGTGTCCTGGGTCGAGCCGTGCGACACGGTGCACCTCAATGCTTCTGCTTCCCGGGGCATGGGGGGGGGGTGGAGACTGCTGCCAGCCAGTGACCCAGGGCTTCTCCAGTGCTGTCCCGGAAGGCAGGGGCTGGACCTGCCCTGCCCGGCTCAGCTGAGGGGCACAGAAGCCCAGCCAGAGTGCATGCGTGGGGAATGAGGTTCGCCCCCCCCCAAACAAAAGAGAAACTTTCCCATGGCCAGGAGAGAGCCTCAGTTTACCACTCGTGCCTTTTTCTTCAATGACAGAGCAAGCTCCGGCCAACGCCCACACACAGACCCAGAGACACACTTGTCCCTGGAGCTAGGACTGCACTCGAGTTTCCCAAGGGCCAGGAGAGCCCCCCCTTCCCCCCCGTACCGGGAACCCTTTCTGGTGCCCAGGGACCTGGATGTGCGAGCCCAAGGGAGGAGAGCAGGGTTGAGAGCCGCAGGCGATCTCCCGGCTCGGTCCGTACCTCGTCGGGGTCAGCGAGCTTGAACTCCCATCCGTCGCCCGTCCAGCTGATGAACGCCTGGCAGGACTTATCAGAGAGCAGTTCTAGGAGAAACTGCCACAGCTGGATCGGTCCGCTTCCTGCGGGACAGGGCCAGTGACAGGTTTTTACACTCAGACACGGCAAGGACTCGGCCCTCCTAATACAACCAGCAGGCTGAGGAACTCGAGCCCCGATTCCGGGTGCCGACGGAAAGGTGCCACCCCAGGTGCAGTGACAGTCCCGAGTCCCAGGGGGAGGAGGCTGGACACCCCACAGGCCTTCCTCCTCGCCTCCTAGTCCCAGAAAAGAGGCCACTGGGCCCTTGGTGGCTGGGTGTGGTCTTTCTGGGGGGAAAATTCAGGGCCACCGACTCCTGGCATGGAAATTCCTCGCCCTGTGTAACTGCTCCTTCTGTGTATTTCTGCGAACGCTGGGATGGGGCGGATGAAGGGGGCAGTAACCACAGAACGAGGCGAGTTATTCCCGGAATCCGCGCTATGGCTTTCTGGCCACACGACAGTGGCTCAGTTGCTCAATCCAAGAGTCCCTTTCCTGACGAGCCACTCGGGCACTGGGAGCGACCCCACAGTCCCACCGCCAGTGCGAGGAGCTCTGTGCCTTGCCCGACGAGCCCTTTCCCGACAGTGTGAGAACCGCCGCCCTGTGTGGGTGCATCACGGCAGCACTATCTAGGGATGAGGAACAGGACGAGGCGGTGTCCGCCCTGGATCACACGTCCATCCCAGAGCCACTCAAGACGCCAGGGCCACGGGCAGGAAGGCATGGCTAAGAGGACAGGGGCTCTGTGTGCCCAGGGAGCTGTGTCACGCTGAGCCGGCTTCCCCATCTGTGAAGTGGGTTAATGCCCCACCCACTCTGGGCCACCCTGAGGACTCCCAACAGCACGCCTACAACCTCACGGCGCGGCCGGTAACACAAACATAGCAAACAGCCGCACCACGGCTGATTACTCCTCAGGCCCTGACCCCTGGCATGAGACCACAGCCTCCCACGCTGCCTGGACTTCAACACGTTTCCGTGGCTATTTGTTTTAGAGAACAGAAAGAAGTAGATGCCCACACATTCTTATTTTAACCTATCAGATTTCTGTGAGTAATATTATTAAAATCCCCAGTGTGTCTATATATAGTCAAAGTATAGGGCGAAAAGCTCATTTAAAGACACATGAAGCAGTAATAAAAAAAATCTCGGTATTTTTGCTAAAATGCTGGAAATAATCTGGTTTTCAAAACAGCCTTAATATTTGTCCCTTGCCTAGAATAGCGCTTGCTAACATCTTAAAAACAAAATGGGTTTTAGAAGCAAGAAAAGGCAAATGGTCCTGTGCTATTTGAGGCCGGGTTGCCACGCCCCCCGGAGCCAGTTTACATTCTTTGAAATTTCTGGAGTGGGTGAGTCAGTGCCGAAGCCTCCGCGGCCCCTGTGCCCTGCTCCCTCCCCTCCCCCTCCTCCTCCTCCTCCTCCCTGGACAGGCCGAGGTAGCAGCCGTGGACTTCCATCCACACACGGAGCCGCATACACAAACTTTCCTGCAAGGCTGGCCTTTTTAGAATTCAGAGACGGTCTGTCTGGATTCCGGATTACACTCCACGGGTCAATCGTGGGGTGTAGATACAATGTGCTCAGACCAGAAACACCCTTGGTAAACATGGCTATGCCGGGCAGGGCACAGGGGAGGTGACGGGGACACGCAGAGCAGCGCACTCACCTGTGAAGCCGGCCAGCACGGCCGCAGGTATGACTGGTTTGCCCTGCTCCACCGGGTCACTCCTCTCTTGGATGTAATCTTTGAAAGACATGGTCGGCTTGCTGAGGCACAGGGACTGGCTGCAGTCGTCGTCACAGCTCTCGAAGGAAGGCACCCGCTGCTCCAGCAGGGACGATTGGCTGCTCCAGGACTGCAGCAGCGAGTCCGAGCTCTCGAAGCTGTCCCCGCCGTTCTCCGGGGAGTCGCGCTCTCCGGACTTCCCTGGCAAAGATAGACAGGCACAGACTTTGACTCCTGCAGGACAATGACATGTCCAGCCCTACTGCTAATAAAAACCTGCAGGTTGGTCTGGCCGGTGTTGCCCAGTGGTTGAGCCTCAACCCATGCACCAAGAGGTCGCCGGTTCCATTCCCGGTCAGGGCACATGCCCAGGTGGTGAACCCAATCCCCAGTGGGGGGCGTGCAGGAGGCGGCCAATCGATGTTCTCTCTCATCCATGTTTCTATCTCTCTTTCTCTCTCTCTCTCTCTCAAAACAACAAAGAAAAAAAAAGTTTTTTAAACCTGCAGGTTGTCTTGGACTTAATGGCAGCATCACTGCCGACCACCCCCATTTAACTGTGTTCCCTGCTGGTTCAGAATCATGCAGACTTCACAATGCTCTTAAATGGAGGGACTTGTTCCTTACAAGTACACTACACAACCACATCTTCCTTCAACAACAGAATCGATAAACCAAGCATATCCTCACGGGTTGGAGTATTATACAGCAGTAAAAAAGGACAACGAGCTGCTACATCCAACACAGATGAATCTCAGACATAATGATGAGCAAAAGACAACACACAGTATGATTCCATTTCTATCAAGTTCAAAAACAGGGAAAACTATGGTGATAAAAGTCAGGACAATGGTTTCCTCTGGAGGTCAGGGTGCTACTGATGATTGGGAAAGGGTAGGAGGGAGCCTTCTGGGATGCTAGAAACCTTTCCATCTCCATTTGGTGTATGTACATCAAAATTTAACCAGTTGTATATCCTGAGATTTGGGCACTGTGTATACACATCTCTGTAAAAAGAAACCTGTTACACTGTCTCCCAAATATCCCACTGGGTGGAGGGATCTATTCACAACAGATCCCTCAGGGCCCAGACCACAGCCTGAAACACATTAGGAGAATGCTTGCTGAGTGAATCAATCGTGTGCCAGTGACCTAAGGTCACTTCGAACAGGACGAGTCCTGACTTCCTCCAACGGCTGAACACAGGACCACTGATCAAGACGCTCGAGCCGCTGTCCTACTGGGGCTCCCGGAATCAAACCAACAGCCCGTCCACAGGACCGCGTGGAAGCTCCTTACCAGAGCCGCTGGTGAGCAGACTCAAGCTGCTGCCGGCGAAGTCCTGGCTGACGGAGTAGCTGACGCCCACAGCGCTGAGCTGAGACTTGGGGAACAGCTGGAACTCCTGCTCGGAGCCGAGGGCACCGGCTGCCGCTGCGGACGGGCACATGGCGTCCAGGAGACCGCCCTTGGGGTAATTCTGCGCCTGCATTCCGTAGGGCGCCTGCTCCACGCCAAAACCTGGAACAGAACCACCGGGCGGCAGAGCTTTAGGTGACAGGACGTGATAATCAGGGACCCTCCACCCCCTGACCGATCACACGTGAGCCGTTCTGCACGCCCCTACCTTTGCCGACCCTCGGTGGGCTTTGATGGCAGGCTTTCCACGAAGCCCTCTTTTTTCAAACCATTCAACTTCCCAGCCTCACTGGCCCTTTCCCAAAGGCTGCTGCCCCTGGACCCAGCTGCAACGCCTCCCTGCTCATGTTTCTGTGCTCCCCCCTCAACGCTTTCCCGTGACCCTCAGGACGACGGCAGGGGTCCCTGGCTCTTTCGACTTCCAAGGACACTAAGGCTCAAAGTGATACATACCCCCTAGTATGTGGCTGGGGGACCACCTGTAACCTACATTCACCACATCATGGACCAGAGAGAGAACCTGAACTCCATGACACCTTATGCAACCCCAAAGTTGGGGCAGGTTTGGTGCTGCTTTCCACGCGCTCCCTGTGCCGGCCACCTCTCGCGTGCTCTACGAGCTGTGACCCCAGCCACCAGCTCCCTGCCCTTTCTTTGTCCCTCGCTCTGTGCACGGCCCGGACCAGCGCTGGCTATTAGTGTTAAATGTTCTGGTAGCCACTTTATAAAAGTAAAACAAAAAAGGGGGGGTGATTTTATAATTTTACTTGAACCTAAGATATCAGTTATAATTTCAACAGGTAATCAATATTTTTAGAATTAGGAAGGAGATCTTTTCAATTCTTTGTTTCATACTATGGCTTCCAGACTTGGGGTGCATTAAATTCTTATCACACAGCTCAGTGCATTAGTCACTTTAGCCATGTGTGGCCACTGTACGGGTCAGTGCAGGTCTAGACAGGGTCTGTGGACCATCCGTGAACTAATGGGCGACTTTAAACCAAGATTGTGAGGGCAGAATCCAGACTGACCTAATGAATTGCTGTTAATCCAATGAGGAACTGAGTTGAGGTGGGAATTTTCTTCATACGGATCCTCTGTCTTTTCTTGGTTTTCTGAAAAACAGACATAGGAGAGATAAGACTGTAAAGTGAGTTAAAAACTACACAAGAAAAAAGCGACTTTCTGAATTACTGCTATACAGTTATTTCAGGGTAACTCAACACATGTAATAGTTCACATTTAACCTGATGGTGTTCCACGTCTTTTAAAAAACCAGAGGCAGCAACGCATTTTTTTTAGTAAGTAGAGGAAGTTTTCCAACATGAATGCTGTCACAGGCAAAGTTATATTTTCTACTTCATAATTCGAAAGACCCAGATGGTGTATTTCACTCTCCACGTCAATGATCAGTGAGACACTGGTGAGGTGCCACCTGTACCAGGCAGGGCTGGGAACAGAGCAGGTGCACCAAGAGGACTCAGTCCCTGCTCCGGGAGGCTCATGGCCACTGTTTCAAACCCAGAAGGCTTCCCCTAGGGTGCGGCCAGCGCTACAGACAGAGGGCTTTGTGAGGACACACGTGCCCAGGAACTAAGAATGGGAAAAGGACTGTGGTTCTGTGTATGTCCACTCCCTACACACACACACGCGCACACACACACCCACACATACACCCGCACGGCCAGACCAGACCCACATGGAGTAGTGGCAAAACAGTTCCCCTTGCCCACAAGCAGGTCCTCACCGGAACCTCAGGTCAGGCTTGTCCACATTCAGGCAAAATTGAAGTCTCCCTGGCCCCCAGGAGCCATAACCAAAGGGAGCAGGTGGTGGACCCCAAGGCCGTTTAAAGGTTCTGAGTCTGTAGCAGACGTTGACACTCAGTGCTCATGTAAGTGAGGACTGGTTCCCTGAGCTCTACAAAGGGGCTACTCTCCTTCAAGTTTTCACCTAAGTGATCCCTCACTACAATGTTTTTCTTTTTAACTCACTTTATTTTTTTAACAGTGGTCTTAATGCTCTTACAAGGTCTGAATCAAGATTTTCTATGTGACGCGAGTTCTTTGGTCAGTGGCTAGTTTTTGTAGAATCAGTGTGGAAATATCTATCAATTATTCCTATATTTGTTTAAAAACATAAAAGCAAAAAAAAAAAATTTCTTTGTTGGACTCCATCTGGACTCGGGAGAATTTGCTGTAAAATCCACGCAGTCTGACTGAACGAAGGCTCCCCGCCGCCGAGGCGGACTGGCTTCTCCCAGTTCTGTAAGGTGAGCCACACACGGGAATTCTTGGCCGGCCTCATACCTGAGCTGACACGTCCTCTGACGAATGCCGTCTAGCGACAGTGAATGACTTAGTGACTAAGGCTATGGCCTGAGGGTTACACTCGAGCCCCACACACACTTAAGTGGATGCAAATCTATAACCACCGACACACAGGTGACTCACTCCAGTGGCATTGTCGGGCAATCGACATCATTTGAAACTCTGACCCTACAGGTGCAGCTCCTTCCCTCTCCTGGCTGGTACCTTTGATCATCTGTTCCAGATGCTCCCAGAGAATGTCGCCCACAAAGTCAGGTGCCAGCTCCAGAAAACGCTCCTTGCCCAGGTTACACAACACCTGGCCATTCATGCCAAACCTCTGCAGGTTGACGTTCACCAGGCTGAACTCATTGGTCGCCCAGAGAAGCCACTGGCATACTTGCTGCTCCGTCCACAGCCAGGGGTCTACGGGGAACAGAGGGGAGACACGGAAGGAGGCAGTGAGACCAGAGTAGTCACTCCCCATTTACCCACACGGCCACGCATGCACCCAAGACCAGCAAAATGAGCAAGACACCCAGGCAAACTCGAAGACACGAACAACAGTGCTGGATGGAGCGTTCAGCGGTCTGGGTTGAAATGAAAGCAGGCTCAGCGTAACCACATCTCTGCCCGTGTCTGCGAGCCGCCTTAACCGAGCTTACAGAAATCACCCATCTGGCCCTGGCCAAGAAATCACCCGTCTGGAGCAACAGCAGTCAAGTTCGCCCGGCTAGTGCGGCGCAGACTCAGAGCAGCGGCTCGAAGAGGACGCACTTACTCTTGGGGATGCCCAGACGACGCTGCTCCTTCTTGAAGCCACTGAAGGTAGCCTTCAAGGCCTGACTCATCACAGCCTTGCTGCAGGGAGTCAGCAGGGGCAACTCGCAGCTGGCCGAGTCTAGAAGGAAACCCAGGGGCCGTTAGGATTTCAAGCTGGCAAGAACAGATGGAGAATTCAGGGGAGAAATCTCAGTTTTTAGAAAAGAACAATTTTGACCGCAAACCTTGACATCATTCCTTAAAAGAGTATCAATATGAACCCCTCCCCCCAATTTTTTTTGACTGAAATTGAAAAAATATATGTCCCATAACTTTGCTTATTTATTTATTTATTTTTAGGGAGAGGGAAGGAGGGAGAAACATTGATTGGTTGCCTCCTGAGTGTTGGGGATCAAATCTGCAACCAAAGTGCATGCCCTTGATCAGGAATCGAACCTGTGACTCTTTGATCCTTGGGCAGATGCTCTAACCACTATGCAAGCCAGCCAGGGCTAACTTTGCTTATTTAAAAAAAAAAAGTATAATAAAATAAAATCATAAAGCAGTTTATGCCTAAGTAAAATGTCTATTGAAGTCTATGTAAAAATTTTAGACAATGAAAGAAATTGCATGATTTTTGGCCCCAAGGCTTAAGGGGTTCTGAATACATATTTGGAAGTCGACTCCATTAAACTAAGCAGCAGGCAGTGACTTGGAGCCGAGTACACACAGCCCTGAGCCCTCATGAAGTCGGTACACTTTCCACTTTTATTGAAAAACTATCTTCCCTGGATTCCCTCAGCAATTTCAAGAATGATAAATGACTGTCACAAGATGGCATGCTGATGCAAGCACTTGTGTTTTAATTAATTTTCTGGGCTATATTTTCTAGCATCTATTTCATATGACAAAGTAATGTCTGGAATGCCTCCAGCTAATAACTCTATCTCAGTCACTGCAGAGGCATCACCCGGCGTATTAGTCCTTTACAAAGAATAAACAATGACATGAAGAAGCACAGAAGTAAATACAGATGGGTAAAGATGAGCAAGAGTAATTTGTTGCCCCCCAAACTCCAGGGGATGGTCTAACTGTAACCCCAGTGAGATGCATTTGAATGTGCCCTCCTTGTCTGCTCTGCAGAGTGGACCTGGGAGCTGCCGGGGTGAAAACACCCCGATGTTAATCTCAGGGTCCCCAGCAGTGTGCCAGGAGGGGGGCATTTGCTCTCCCTGGGGTGCGTCTGGCAGGGAAGACAACAGAATCATCACTCTCATCAAAAGGAAAACTGGCTTGTCCCAGGTCCAGAGCCCCCACTTGACTTTCCACACCAAAGACTCATGACACCGTCACTCATTATCTGTCGTCGTTACTAACCGAGTTACTTTGGGTAATCACACACAGTTTGTCAACCTGGGTAGCAGATTACCGTAAGAAATGGAATCCAGGCCTGTGGGCACTTCTTGGAGTGCTTGCTTTTCATTCAGGGCGGGGAAAATGGCAAACAGGGATCCATCAAAGGTGTCAAAGGCCGGCTGTCGCTGCAGAAAGGGACAGAAAGAAAGCAGAAATATAATATTTACTTACTTAATTCCGTTTGCAAAGTGGTCCATGGGTAATCTAATCAATACGCCCTGATTAAACTGGCCACGGTAAAGCAACACCTGGAATGGACCAGCAGTCCTCAAGGTGTACTAGGATGGCCCACGTGACCAAAATGAGACTCTCTCTCTCCGGGTCATTTAATCACCCTCTGAGTCAGGACTGGGAATTGATTTCTAATGATCTAATCCACTTAAATTAATAAATTAAATAAACAAACCTAAAATACTAGAATCCCAGAAGAACAGAGCTGGGAGGGGCCTCAGAGCTCACCTGGTCCAAACACCTGGCCTTTTTGTGACATCATGGGAGAGAAATGCAGCCAGGCCAGGTGTAAGGAAAAGGACCCCGGCAAGGCAGTCACCTAAAGTCACTGCCGTGAAAAGAGAAGGCGAATGATTGAATGAAAATTGAAACTCAAACAATGACATAAAAGATCTGGAGAAGTATTTATTTTGAAATATTTACAATGAAACACTAACTGAAAGTAGGTGTTTTTCCTCATCAATTCTCAATGGTTCAGAAAATGGTAAAACACATGAGAAAGTTCCTTAAGGTTTACTTTTATAAAAGTAAAGAGACCCACAGTCATCTACGGAAAGAGTTCCAAAGGAAACAGGTTTAAAGTTAAACTACGGTTTAAGGGAAAGGAGAAGAGAGATACACAGAGCAAGATAAAACCTTACGCTGTCGATTTCTGATCCATCCCATCTAACATGTATCAAAGAAACAGCCTTTAATGCAGGACTTGTTAATAAGTAACAGATAGGCCTTGATTCACCATTGCCCAACTTGTTAAGGAAAGAATGTGAAGAAAGACTATACTTTTCCAACATAAGCTGGAAATCCCATGTTCTGTGTAATACAATGACACACTCGTTGAGTCATCAATAAGAAAATGTGTAACACATTTACAAATAATATGTTTGTGTGCTTTCGTTTTAGAAAAGCAGAACAATGGATGACACATTACACAAGAGGTCAGGCTGAGGTTGAAACTGACCCCAAATACTCAAAGCAATGATTCCCCATATGGAGCCCAGCCAGCCCCCCAAACCCAAGGCAGTGATGTCCAACGGATATCCCAAGACATCGAGGAAAGACCAATCAGGCAAGTGTTTCAATACTTACCGAGATAGATAAACTACTTTATAATTTTGGACTAATTCTGTGTAAAATATCCAATCAACGTTTAAAATTCCCACTAGCTTTGCCCAGGTGACTAAGTATGCCTTTGTCTTACTGACAGTGAGTTCATTTTTTTTTTTTTTTTTTTTTTTTAATCCTCACCTGAGGATATTTTTCTACTTATCTTCAGATGGACTGATGGACTGGGAGGGAGAGAGAGGGGGGGAAACATCGATGTGAGAGAGACACAGACTGGTTGCCTCCCACATGCCCCCGACCAGGGCCAGGGTAACTACAACCGAGGTACGTGCTCTTGACGGGAATCGAACCTGACTCATTGCTCCTCGGGCCAATGCTCTAACCACTGAGCAACCGGCCAGGGCAGTAAGTTCCTTTTCAAAATGAGAACGTCAAAAGACAACACAATGTAACACTCCAGAGACACATTTGCACAAAGCCCTGAGCTCAGGAGGCCAGTCTCTGACACTGCTTCTGAGATGTGCTTACTACACGAAGCTAAGAACAGGGAGGCCGCGCTCGTACGTGTGGAGAAGGCCGATGGGATTATCAGTCTGTGCAGAACGTTCCCAAGAGGAATTGAGATGGAAGCACAAGTCTGCGTTGGTTATGCAGCAGGGGCGGCTTTCACCTTTCAGCCGGGTCTCGTTCACAGGCAGGCTGCCCGGTGGGCTCGGCGGGCCGGCCTGCCTCTCCTGGGCAATCTCCCTTCACCTCTGAAACAGCCTTCCCCCCATCCCAGCCCACTCCAGCTCTGTGCTGTTGAAAACCACAGGCTTTTTCTCCTGGTAGGAGGCTCAGAAATTAACTAGCAAGGCCTCACCTTCTACAAATTACATGGGTTCCTATCTTGGGAGGGCAAGTAGAACCAGCACCAGGAAGCCCATTTTACAGATCAGAAAACTGAGGCCCAGAGAGATTAAGCAAGCAGTCCAGAGTCATACAGCCAGTAAATGAAAAGCTAGGGCTAGAACAGATCTTCTGGGACTCAGCCCACTACTTTTATTTCCCCCTCTCCTAGAGATTGAGCTTTCCAAATTAAAAAACAAAACACAAACTTTTAATGAAATTAACACTTGCTCACTCACCTTGAGTGTCCCTCTGTAACTGTTAGACACAGGGGCCACCTGGTCCATGTTCTTGATTCCAAAATCATTCATCTTAAAAAAAAAGGTAGAGGAAAATGAAATGTCAGAGGCAACAAGTCCAGCGCTACATTCTGAAGTGATCTTCACAGGCAGCAGAGATACTGGCCTGCTGATCGGTCAAGTTCTACAGCACAACAGTCATTCCGAACCAAATGCCAGGAATTCTTATTTAAAAGGCCCTTCTCACAAGGGCTACGCTATTTAAGCAGTTCAATAATCATGCTGATTCCCACCAAATTCGACTTAGATTTGAGGCACACAAGATAGTCTCTTTCAGGCTGGCTGCTCAAAGCCTCCTAAGGCAGTGTCCTTCCACCGTAGGAGTAGGAGGGGTTGCTGTTCACTGCCACGGAGGGTGTGGGCCCAGAAGGTGCCAGGTGGCCAAGGGCAACTCCTATCTACAAGGGGGCAGTCAGCTCCACTGGTGAGCCTCGGGGTGACCGGCCCAGGCAGCTCCAGGTATATCCAGATCTAGAAAAGCATGCTGGGAGGAGCCAGAAGGCCCCCTCCTTTCCACATGGGAGGAAGCTGGGGCTCAGGAAGATCAAAGGGAGGAACATGGCTTCAGACCAAACCCTCTCGCCCTGTCCCAGATCCTCTCGTGTTAAATACGCAAGCTCCAAACACGTCCGCTCTGGTGTGGCTCAGCTGTGTGTTTCCCCAAGCAGTAGTTCCAATCACAGGTCTGCCTCACTTGCTCTGATAGCATCTGGGCTTACACTAGACCCGTGTTGCCCAACGTGGTAGGTACCAGCCACGTGTGGCTGCCGAGCACCTGGCCCACGGCTCAGACATGCAGAGATGTCAAAGATCTCAGGAAAAAGTAAAATATCTCAGGAATAACGTTGTACTTACTGTATGTTTATATGACATGTTGAATATATTCAACGAATGAAAATATACTGAAATTAAGTTCACCTATTTTACATATTTAACATGACTATTAGAAAATGTATAGTTACCTATGTGGCTTGCAGTTGGACAGAGAACTTATTTGGAGCCTAAAAGGCAATCGTTGGGCCAGATGAGTTACATATTAATAAATGAGAAGGTTACCTAGATAATGCTGCCACAGTGCTAGGAAAAAAAAACAGAAACTAAAACTTGGTTTCAAATAACCTGGGTTAGCATAGCTGATAGTAACCTTTACCCCACAGGGCCCTCTTCCCCCTCCTGGCTTCCTGGCCAGAGATCTGAAGGCCTAAAAAGGCAGCTTTCAGGGGTCGCTAATTGCACCCCCCCATCTCCACTGGGTGCTCCCACGTGTTATAACTAAGACCTTCAAGTAGTTAAAATACTGTACAATTGACAGCACTTACTGGCAAATAGCATATTTTTCCCTAATTATTTTGTGTGTGTGCTTTTCTTTATGATCAACGTTATAGCTAAACCAGACCTCCCAACCACTCAACACCCGCACACACACACGTGAACACACACCTCCGCTGGCTGGAAGGGCGGGGTGGGAGGTGAGTGTCCGCCTCAGGGGAGGCCAGGGGTGCAGCAGAGGGCTGGCTGTTAAAACCCACAAAGTGCGAGTGATTATCCCGTGGCCAGCGGAGGCTGGAGCACTGGGAAGGACGGTGCTATGGGGAGGGCAGGGCGAGGAGGGCTGTCCTGGATAAAAGTGGCCGCCTTTGCTCAGGGTCTCCTCTCGGTGGGCCATGTCATCCACATGCACTCCAGAATCAGTATTCGCTGCTGATGGTAGCTGCAGTGACAGTCTTCCTCGCTAAGGGCTGAGCCTGAGTTGGGGGAGACCGTCCCTTCCCACTGCACCGAATCTCCCAGGCATCCCTGAGAGACAGATGTGACACAGCGGGACCCAGAGACATCCAGGAACGTGCCCAGAATCATAGTTACTGTGGGCGCTTCTCAGGGCACAGTGTAGACCATATGGCAGTTGAGGGTGGCCCTAAATCCTGAGCGCCTCCATGTGTCAGGATAACCTGAGAAAAGGGGCCTGGGCCTTCTCCCACCTCATCCTCCAGATCAGGAAGCACACAGATACTATTAGACCCAGCCGCGGCATGCTACTCTTCACAATGCGAAATGCTCCTTCATTCAGAGCTTTCTGTCATTTATCTGCAGGAACTGAGTCCTGTTAACCTGTTGATTCAATACACAAGCCTCAAACACAAGACCAAAATGCCCAAGCATTTTGGGTGCTGCCAATTACCCACCCAGGCCAGCTCCGTTTCTATGTCTGGTTTGCAGATGCCCGGTGACTTGGGATATAGAGAATAATTTTCCACCTTCACAGAGATGGACAGAGAATGGATGTGGAAGGGGATGGAAAAGCTTGGGGGAGGGGGTTGTGTACAAATACTTGGGGGAAAGGCAGTCTACCACTCCCACACGAGAGCTGTAATTACTCGCTACAGAACAGAATTCTTTTGTTGTCCAGCTTTTAATTAGTTTTGTAAGAACCATGAAGAATCAAAGTGGTTTCAGGCAGACACATAACTAATCAAATTTAAGTTCACTTATTTTACTCAACATGGTTCGTTAAGGTGGCGGACAAGCCAAGTTTCTCCATGTAAATCAATTTTCAAATTTGGGTCCTTTGGGTGTTGCCCTTTAGATCGCTGTTTGTGAACAGAAAAAAAAAAGTAAAGAAAAAAAGGAAAGAAAAAGGAAAATGGCAGAAATATAAATGCTGAAGATGGTTAAAATTTTAAAACAAGCAGAACTTGCCTGACCACTGAACCCTTCTTGGAACAAGCCGATCACTTATGCAAGATTCAACCACAGATTTGTATTTAAGCAAATTGCGGGGGGGAGACCTCTCCCCCACAATGTATTCTTTGAGGGTTGGTGTGGTTTTTCCTTTGAAAGTTATCACTTCGGCGAGAGGAATGACTAATCCCAGTAATGAGTGTTTGATATTTTCCTGCAGGACCACGGTGCTAACATTTACTGTACTATGATATTACTCAGAATTTTAATAAACCTTCACTTGGAGATTTATCTCCCTGATGGGTGGTGTGGGCAGGCAGATGGCGCACAGGCGCTTCCATTGTCCGGAACAAACATAATCTCTTAGTGGTGAATTAAAATAAATTACCCTTATCTCCAAAGGGTACTGCTCACTTCTTTACTTTCTAAATAAGTAGCACGTCAACTACTATTTTAGGCTCCCTTGAAACTGAATACAGACCAATATAAAGTCTCCGGTGCTTACAAAAAACCCAAACCCTCAAATGCACAAACGCTCACCGTTACCATTAAAAATGCTTTAAGAACGAGAAAATAAAGTCAGCTCTGCGCACCCTTGTCCTGGTTTCCAACAAACGCCCGGTGCTGGCCCCAGGACCGAGGCCCTGATCCACTCCTGGGCACTCTCGGGGGACCCTACCCTCCAGGCAGGACGCGCGGGCCGCCCCGGCTCCTGCCCCCCGGCGCCTCCCTCGCCAGCCACCCCGGGCGAGCCCTGGACGTGACCTAGCAGGTGACCCGATGCTCTGCGTTTTCCGGGAGTCGCAACCTCCCAGGTGTTTTAGGAGGTGGACGCCCAAGATCCTCCCGGGCCCGGCGCTCTCCAGTAAGTCACCCGCAAACCCGGGCGCGCCGGGGCCCCCTCAGGCCCCCTCTCCTGAGTTCCTCCAGCCCCCTCGCGAAATCAAATCCACCGGGGCGCCCACTGGCAGGAGCCCCCCCCCAGAGACCTCGATTCCTTTTCAAAACAAAAGCAAGCCGGCGCACACTCCTGCCCCAGCCGCTCGCCCACCCTGGGGGCCGTGGCCCAAGTTCGCAGCCGGCTCCGCGAACCACGACCCGGCCCACCCGCGTCCTCCTCCAGGCCCCGCATCCCGGCCGCCCCGCAGCCACAGTGCCCCCCGCAACACGAGCCCGGCGAGGCACGGAACCCGGGCGCACGACGCGCCCCAATCCCGGGAGTAGCAGCCACCCGCACCGACCCGGCGCCCGGACCTCGGCGCCGCCCACGTCCCCAGCAGGTTTCGGAAGCCCGCCGGCCAGGAGCCCTGCCCGCGCCCGGCCGCCCGCCCCGGCCCCGCTCTTACCGCGCCGGTTCGTGCAGGGCCGGAGCGCGGTCGCGAGGCAGCCGCTCGAGGCCCGGGCTCCTCGCTGCGGGCGCCGCGGGGCTGGGGCCGGGACGCGGGGGGGCGCTCGGGGGGCCGGGGCGAAGCGGGCGGGCGGGCCGGGCGCTCGGGCTGGGGCTCACTGCGATCCGCACCGCCGCTGGAGGAAGTAACCGGCCGGCCCCTTCGCGGCGAGCTCTTCAGGACCGCGGAGGAGGGGCAGGGAGGGAGCCGCCGGGGGAGGGCAGGAGGCGGAGAGACGGGGGGGGCGGGGAGAGGGGAGGAGGAAGGAGGAGGGGGGGAACGGGGGGAGGGAGCGGGGGAGGACGGAGGGGCGGAGCCGGCTTTTTCCGGCCCGGACCTTGCCCGCCGCCCCCCGAGGCCGAGCTCTGCCCCTACCCCGCCGTGCCAGGTGGCGCGCCCCGGAGCGCCGGCGGAGCGTCCCTTGGTTTCCCTCCCCTGTCCCGAGGATGTAACATCAAACAGGCCTCTTGAAATTCGGCAGGAACGGGGTGCTGGTGCTGCTGGACCGAGCGGCCGCAGGGCTTGGGTGCTAGGGGGCCCCGATCTTGGACTTCTTCCTAGATTTTTGACTTCTGATCATTCCTATCATGAAAGCACTCTACATGAGATGATAAGCGTACGAACTGGGCCCTTTGCTGCCTCACCGAGTCCGCCGTGTACCGAGAAGCCCGCTCCTACAGTCTGTGTGAGTGGCGCCCCCTAGAGTTGAGCGGCGCCTCACTAGGAACCAACCTGAGCTTCTTTGGGCTAATGCGCATGATAATTCTCCAGGGCATTATTGTTCCCCACTTTAAATAGGAGGGAACTGAACCTTAGGATAAATAATTTGCCGGGTCATAAAACGTATAACTCCCACCCACGGTCAAAACCATCACCCATACTCTGTCATTTTCCATTTTTAGCAGAAAATACTTGAGTCGGTGGCTAGAAAATGTGTGCATTTTCTATGCAAATTCACTTCAGAGTCTCAGTATTTTGGAGGAAAATTTGGAGTCCTGAAGGTGGGTATAAAATAAAACAGCCCAGCTTAGGCAAGGCCCTGGGACTAAAAATTAATGCATCTCAGGGACCCAGTGCTGTGAAGGAAGAGGAACTGCCTCATTTCTCCGTTACCAAGGTGCCCGGTTTCCATGGCAACCCTAAATTCATAGTTATTTGGATAATTGAGATACTATCCTGCCCTAATGTTTTGAGGTGCCTGAGGGTCTCCAGGTATCATTGCATAAGTCAGCGGCAGGGTCTACGCGGATATTTCTAGGATACTGAATTCATTGTGATGGCTTCTCAGTGTATACCCAGGCCCCAATCAGAAACCACAGATAGGTCAAGAAAGAGTTTAATAAATGGAATGCAGATCTTTGGTAAGTTATCATGGAGACAAGAAGAGTATGCTACTTTTTATTTTTTAACTGTAGCAGAAAATACTGAGTCATCTTGGCTGCAGTTTTAGCAAATAGAGGGCTTTTCCCCCCAGGCTACTCACACAGCCCTTGATAGTTTCTGAGAAGCTGGGTGCCCACAGCCATGGGGTCAAGTTCAGTTGCCCAAAATGGGATTGACTGTCCATAGTGCCTGCTCCTGCACCCATGGGTGTTCAGTGTGGGATGCTCAGGGGCTGAGTCACTGAGGTTCACTGATTATTTGGGAAGACATAGTTCCTCCTTGAGAGGCTGGTGCAGGCTGGGGTGGGCCAGGAAGGGCAGTTTGCTCGCGTTGGGCCATTTCCAACATATCTGAACAGAAAGATGTCAAGAGGAAACATGGGGGTTTGCAGGCAACCCATTCCTGACAACCACTTTTCCTTCTGCTCTGACTCATTAAACCTCGGACTCTCTCTCCTCTGTAGAAGTAAAGGTGATCTTGGAACCTGTGTCATCTGGCTGGGATGAACGCTCAGCATAGAACCCAATAGGCCAAGAATTTATTGGCGTTGAGCACATAGTAGAGTCTCAAATGATCTAGCTATTAAGTTTTTTTTATCCAAGCTCCCCTCGGAGAGCATCGTATGGAAGAGACACTTTGAAAAGAACATCATGTGCATGTAAAAACAATCCTCCCTACCCTCTCAGTGTAAGTATGTGAAACCCTATGGAAGATGATCTGCCCAGAGCACAGATGGGGAATTGAGAGGTTCAGGAGGCAGGGGGAAGACACCAAGGTCACACACCAGCTTGGACCCGCGACTCCCACCCAGACCCTGGGACACCCTGATTCCCTTGCCAAGGAGGCCCGGACTTATCCGGACAGCACCCTTGCCCTGGGTCTTACACTGTGGCCAATCCCCCTCTATGCCTGGACAGTCACGTGGTCATAATAAAACGGCTTATCCTAGTTCTGGGGTGATATTAGGCTTCCTAACATTTTTTATCTTCCTGTTATTAATTGGTCTCATAGTTAATCCACTGAACTAAAACCCGAGCCCAGCTGAAATCTGTGATTACTCATTGACTATTATGGCTGATTCACAAGGAACACAGAGCTTCACAGTAAATTAAACCTAATAAAAGCCCAGCCCTTGTGCTTCAAGATCAAAAGTCGAAGGTGTTAGAAGGAAATTAACAGTCAGAAGTCACGTGGGCTGAAATGATCGGATGCACTATGTCAACTGAGTTCAAGAGCAGTTTCTTTTCCCTTGAGGAAGACAAGCCCATAGAGAAGGGGAAAGGGGAGACTACAGGGGTACGCATGCGTTATAAATACCAAACTTATAGGGAGTAAATTGCAGATAGAGTTCTTTAGAATCCAGACGTCATTATTAAAATGATTAGCTTACTAAGTCATTCTTAAAAACATTAGCAAGCCCTGGCCGGTTTGGCTCTGCGATTGGAGCGTCGGCCTGTGGACCAGAGAGTCCCAGGTTCAGTTCCCACTAGGCCCTAGCGGCTAGGGGCATGTACCAAACAAAAAAAAAACAAAAACAAAACAGAGCAAAAAAAAAATTAGCAAAAAGGTCTCCTTGGAAACAGTCTTTTCCCCTTGAAATCCAGACCGATAGTCAAACAGTTGGCGGTTTCCAGTGTAGGCTAAGCAGACATCTTTTGATCTGAGCTGCGTTATTCCTTCATCCAGCAAATGGTGTCACCTGCTGAAAAGACAAGGTGAGTAAGGCTTGCTCCCTGCCCTTGAAGAAGTAAAAATAAAGTGCCCAGGACTGTTAAATTCACACACAAAATGTGAGCCTTTGGCAATCCTGGTGGGGGGGGGGGGGTTGGGCGGAAGAGGCGAAGAATGCACTTAGAGCTAGAAATAGTCTAATTCATGCATATCCGTACTAGTGATTGCTTTGCTGACTTTTCACCCTCACTCACTGAGTGGTGCTCAGAAGTAGCAGTTATTCACTGATACATGTTGGGGGTCAAGGAACGAATAAAGTCAAGCTTTACACCACCCCAAACCTGCCACCCCCTCATCCCATCCCTACCTCCCACCTCCCAGTGTAGGTACAACAGGTATAATATCCATCTGGCCCTCCACTTTTGCCCATTTGTAAGCCGCCACAGATACCCGGAACCCGACGATGGTCATCTAGCAGCCTCCCAGCCTCCTACAGGGTGGCCCCAAACTGAAGGAGCAGGCACCTGTGGGATCAGATGTCCCAAGGTCAGATCCCAGCTCAGCCCTTCCCAGCCCTCCTACTGTGAATCCCTGGGCAAATTACTTAATCTCTCCGGGCCTCGGTTTCCTTCCCTGTCAAATTTGCATCACAACAGTACTTTTCTGTTAGGACTGCCTAAGGATGAAGTTAGTTAGTGTTTCTTAAGCACTTAGAACAATGCCCGGCACATAATTAGTGCAAGGGTGTGACCCCCTGACCTGGGGACCCAGTGCCTCCCTGGCAGCCTCTCTGACCACTGCTGTGGACAGGGCCCAGCCTCCTTTCACTCTAGTTCTCTTGCCTTTGGTGATAAGAGACCAGGGCATGAAACACTGAATCTTAAAATTGGGAAGTACTCTAAAGAGTGGATAAGTGAGATCAACTCCTGTTTTTATAAGGAAACTGAGGCCCAAGGAGGATCAATTCCTCCCCAAGGTCATGGGGCAACTTCCTGGCGGGGCTGGGACCACAGTCCTCCCTGACTGTCATTTCCCCTTATAAGGCAGTCTCTGGAGTATATACGCGACCTTCCAAATCCACCCTGGTATTAAACTGCGTGATGACACGCTTAAGGCAAGTCCAAACAACAGAAATAGTAGAGGACCTGCTGTATGCAGTAGAATTGATAATCCCTAAATAAATATGTCTGAAGTGTGAGTCAGACCCCCCCCCCCCCCCCAGATACGTGGTCTGGTCATCGTGTGTGTTTTCTTCTGAATCACAGCATGGTTCCCACAGTAGGCACCTAACTGAAGAATGCCCAGAGCGCCCACTACATTACTTGTCACACAAACGGACACTCAACCACATGTCTTCACACACACACACACACACACACACACACACGAAGGGTGGGTCATGATCGTGCCCATCAGTCTAGCAGATGATTGTCATTGAATTCGCACGTCACTTTGGGCGACAAAATAAAACCTGAATGTTTTAAAGCTAAATAACCCAACAGCCTTAATTTAAGCGGGCGTGTGAGTACACCGCTAAGGCTTTGGGGTATTCACGCCGCATCCATGACTGTGAGGAATGGCTTTCCGATGGCTGCAAGGTCTCCCCGCCCCACTTCTTTGCACTTATGAATGTTGGTTTCTATGTCTGTTTCGGACCCACTGAGGTATCGGCACCTCCTGTGAACAGCTGTCATCAATCGCTCTCCTTATGTACTATGCTCCAAGCTCCTGCTTTCTTCACCTCTAAACGCCCAACATGGCACCTGACCACGCCTCTGGGTCACTGCGCTCTCCTCGTGGAAGGAAGACGGGGGGCCCCTCTGAGCCCGCGGGCCTGGCTTCCTTGGGAGCAAAGAGGATGCTTGGCTGCTTTGTGAGTTGTGCCTCCTTGTCTCTTCAGTTCACCTTCCTGTTAGTGTTCGTGGAGAAAATGAGTAGAGTGTTTCTCTGCAAGAA